AAATCTAACATACACTCCAAACAAGTGCAGGCATGTATCACAGGCCAAGAGTGTGGCTGAAAAAAACCTTCCCCCACCCTTCAAGTTAAGAAACAATCAGAGATGTAAAAGTGTGATGACAGCCATGATTGCAATAAGAATGTTCTGTGATTGGACAATTACATGGAAGCTATTTGGACATTTTCCAAAATAAACTTCTATTTTCTCAAGTTGAGAAGTCCCAATCAATAAAAAAGCATGAATTATCATGTCTGAGGTCTTAAATTTATTTCGGTTTCCTTTTTGATTTGTTCCATCTACCATATTAAGGTTTTTATTTTTAATTCATAGCCATTTTTACTTTTTTCTTTTTTTCAAATAACTGTTCAGATAGGTTCGTCATTGTTATGACTCTATCCTAGGATAGTTTAGTGACACAGTTTTCCAAAATAATGTTTTTTCACATGTAATCTTTTATCAACAGAAATTCTAAGAATTAAATTTTAAGGATAGTGGTGATTATGTAAAGCGGGATAAGCTTCAAAGATTAGGAAATGGTGTAATTTCTCAAGACGCATTTCCATATGAGCAGATCATTAGTGAAGGAGTTAGAAATGCATGAAATATAAGATGAATGCCACAGTTGTAAATTGTGATGATGAAAGATATGGAAAGGCAGAAAGGAAGTAAATAATTTAGAGAGAGTCAAGCAGAAAATCTCTGATGATATTTAAAGAGGTTTAAAAGACTTCAAGGTTTTTAAAAGTAGAGCTATATGAATTAATTCATTCCCCCATTTGGAAGGAGGAAAAACACAGTAGATTAGAAAGAATACCACAGAAAAAGAATATTTCTTTCCATGATATGAAAACTAAGAATAAAAAAATATTTAATGAAATAACTGTCACCATGGCTACAATAACTATAAATCACTGTGGAAATCTAATGTTACAACTATTCATTTGAAAATGTATATTGTGTACTTGTATGCATATAAAGCAGAAAATCTGATGATATTTAAAGAGGTTTAAAAGACTTCAAGGTTTTTAAAAGTAGAGCTATATGAATTAATTCATTCCCCCATTTGGAAGGAGGAAAAACACAGTAGATTAGAAAGAATACCACAGAAAAAGAATATTTCTTTCCATGATATGAAAACTAAGAATAAAAAAATATTTAATGAAATAACTGTCACCATGGCTAAAATAACTATAAATCACTGTGGAAATCTAATGTTACAACTATTCATTTGAAAATGTATATTGTGTACTTGTATGCATATGTTGCACATACAGATACACAAACACACAACTATTTGATAACTCAGATAAGCAGACATTAAGGTGGCGTGGTCACATGCTTCCCAGTCAAGTCCATTCAACTGGCTTTGCAATTTGCTAACATCCCAGTTTAGGTACTTTACACTTGTGTCCTCACTAGGGATAGGCTAGGAATCCATGGACAGCCACTCAATCACTCACTCCCTCCACTTCAATACCTGGTCAGTAACACCTGCTGAGTGACACCCTCCCATTCCTCTCTCACCCCTCAGTGTCCCATTCTTGCTTCAAGTACTTAGAATTCCCTATTTAAGCTTCACATTCACTTGCTTATGTGTTTATCATCTGTACCCACAATGAAAATGTAAGCAAGACAAGGTCATAGACAGCCAGACCCAGCACTTACAACATTTCCTGGTACGTCACAAAAATATGAAAATACTTGCTGAACAAATAAATTAATGTGAATTGGACTTTTTAAAGCTCAAAGGGACATGAACATTCAAGGAATGTTTCCTGACAAGAAAAAGATTTATCTACTGAGGAAAATATATTTTGAGACCATAAAGATACTCATCAGATATTGCTACTTTTTGAAGTCTTATTTATAAAATATCATAATAGAAAACACCAGGCAGGGTTAAGCTATATACAGAGAATTTAAAATAAGAGAGCGAGGTGCTGTCACATCACTGTGACATCGGCAGCAGACCAACAAGGATCCACGAGAGGAACACAATAAGACTGTTGCTGTCCCCACCGAGCAGCAAATCAGCAATCATTTGCTAAGACTAGAATATAAAAACAGAATACAATGGAAACAGACAGATTTTCCTGGTCTCACTACTGGGCCAAAATGTTGACTGGATTAATGTACACTATCCGGGATAAGATGCCACTTTACTTAGGACAATAAAATCTGCTTTGAGGATGATATAAACAGACGCAGCTAAAGAACAATGCACTATCAGTGCGTTGACTCTGTGGTGAGAGTTAGAAATTAATTGGTTAGGACCAGTGCCCAGGACAGTAATGAGGTGAATCACCACAGAAAGATTCCTATTCTAAGGTAGAAGGTATATTACATAGGCCAGTAATTAAAGCAGCAGGATATTAGAGCCAAAATAGGCTGACAAGCTATTGGAACAATTTCCAACATAAGAATTTAGAATACATGAGTGCTTCAAATTCATCCACTTGCAGTAAGTTCCAGAGTGCAGTGGTCATGTCTATTTTGTTTGAAAACTGTTTTCCTGAATAAGTGCCTGTACTATAGTAGTCACTTATCTTAGTCACTTTCCCATTGCTGAGACACAATACTCAACACGCACAACTTGAAGAGGGGTTTGTTTTGGCTCACAGTTTTGGTCCATAGATGGCTGGCTCCATGGCAGAAACAGGATGGCAGAGGGCAAGGTAGAGAAAAAGGTGCTGAATCCATGGCAGCCAGGAATCAGAGAAAGAAGTGAGGAGCCAGGGACAAGAGTATACTCTTCCGGTCATGTGCCCAGTGACCCAAATCCAACCAGACCCTGCCTCCTAACAGTGCGCTCAGTTCATCAATGGATGATTCCACCTGCACAATCTAATCACCTTCCAACACACGAGGCTTTAGGGACATTTTGGGTCTAAACCACAACATCTCTCAGCAAGTTCTAATTATATAATTTTTAATGTGAACAAATGAAATGACTAAAAGTTTTTATTACAATACAATAAGCATATA